CGAGGGCCTGTTTGCTTTCCGGGGTTGACCATTCTCCTCCACAGCCACCGATATGGAGTGTTTGATACCCCTGTGCCCTGATAGTCACAATCTGGGGACTCTTTGCCCACATCAAACATGGGCTTTTACCATCACCCTGAGAGGGGGTTCTGCTTGGGGCCAAAGTTGCTCTGAGCACATTCCCCACCCCACAAGGGCAAAGTCTGGGGTACTTCAGAACCAACTTTCTGACACCCACACTTTTTCTTTTCCTTCATCTTTTTGTAAAAAATATTTTATTATTTTTATTTATTTACTTATTTTGGTCTTTTTGAGACAGGGTCTCCCTGTAGCCCCAGCTGTCCTGGAACTCACTATGTAGACCAGGCTGGCCTTGAACTCACAGAGATTCGCCTGTCTCTGCCTCCTGAGTGCTGGGATTAAAGGCGTGTGCCACCAAGCCCAGCTATTATTTTTATTTTATGTGTATGAGTGTATTGCCTGCATGTATGTGAGTGCACCCTTGTGTGCAATGCTGCGGAGGTCAGAAGAGGTTTCGGATTCCCCTGGACCTGGAGTTAAGGATGGTTCATAGCCGCCATGTGGGTGCTGGGAATCGAACCCAAGTCCTCTGCAAGAGCAGCCAGCGCTTTTGGCCAGTGGATGAAGAGAGCTCAGTGTGCCAGCTCTCCAGTCCCAAGATTCACACTTACCAACCAGAAACCTTCCTCTGTTTCTTCTCTTACTCGTGTCCCTTTCTCCTCTCATTCCACTGAGCCCAGTTCCTCACTGGGGAATTCTAGGCAGGGGCTCTACCTCTGAGACTTGTCCCCAGCAGCTGAATTTTTTTTTTTTTTTTTTTTTTTTTTTTTTTTTGTCTTTTTGAGTGCTGGGATTAAAGGCGTCCCCCACCATCCCCAGCTGCAGCTGGATTTTTTTTTTTTTTTTTTTATGTGTATGCATGTATTGCCTGCATGTAGGTAAGTGCACCCGTGTCATGCAATGCCCTCAGAGGTCAGACTGCACTGTCGGATCCCCTGGGACTGGAGCCATGGACAGTCATTAGCTGCCATGTGGGTGCTGGGATTCGAACCTGGGTCTTCTGCAAGAACAACCAGTGTTCTTAACCACTGAGCCATCTCTCCAGCCCTATGAAGCTGGACTTTTTATTTTTTTATTTTATGTGTATGAGTATATTGCCTGCATGTATGTGAGTGCAACTGTGCTGTGCAATGCCTCGGAGGTCAGAAGAGAGCTTCAGATTCCCCTGGAGCTAGAGTTAAGGACGGTTTGTAGCCGCCATGTGGGTCCTCTGCAAGAGCAGACAGTGCTCTTAGCCACTGAGCCATCTCTCCAGCCCCTACAGTCCAGCACAATCTGAAGTCTGATTGGGCAACTGTGCATCTTGGCTGCTCCTTGCATAACCTATCACCAGGGCAGGTCTTAGTGCAAAGCACGTGGAAAATCAGTGAGGTACAGCAACGGACTGCCGTGAGCATGGTGGTCTCACTGGGATTCTGTACTCTAGGCGAGGTGGTGTGGGGAGAGCTAACTTTGCAGAGCCCCTGGTTCTGGGGGACAATCCCAGTTTTATCCCCAGTGTGAGACCTGTCTGTGGGGACAAATTGATGTAGGACAGATCTTGAGTCTCCAATTTGGTTGTCTGGGTGTTGAGGCAGAGTCTCATGCAACCCAGACTGGCCTTGTGCTCACTGTGTAGCTAAGGATAGCCTCGAACTTCTGATCTTCCTGCCTCTACCTCCCAAATGCTGTGGTGACAGGTGTGCACCTCCACACCAGGGGATCCTTGGGCTTCTGAGCACAGGTACACCTGGTCTGGCAGAAAGGAGGGCCTGCCTTGGTCAGTTGACTTTCTGAGAGCTCTCCGGTAGCCCTAGATCCCACAGGAATGCAGAGCCTCTCTTGGCCTCAGCCTCAGATGCCGAGATCAGCAGGGGAGACTGACACAGCCTCCAGCCAAAGGGGAGGGCACCTTCTGACCCTTTGGGGAAGTCAACAGGAGGGGGAGGGGGCATGAGGCAAGAATGAGTCGGGGGCAAGGCCTTTGCATTTAGTTCTTGGGTGGTCAGCAGGGTAGCCAGGGACCAGTGGTTCTTGGGGAGGGTCTCAGGAGCTGAGGGGTGAGTCACCAGGTGGAGTTTGTACCGAGCTTCCAGAATTCCTGCAAGAACTGACTCCACAGCAGGGTAGAGAGAGAGGCCGGGGACCAGCCAGGGGAGAGCACATGCAAAAATGCTAAAAACAATATTAGCAGATTGGAGCCGGCTGTGCTGGGAAGGGCACCATGCCGGGAGCTTGGGGCTGTAATTCCAGGACCAGAGGAAAGCTGAGTTTCAGAGAGCCTCATTCATTCAACGAAAAGATGAAAAGAGGAAAATTCCAGAAGAGCATCTCACCATGAGAGAAATAGCGGATAACATTCAACAAGCACTTCCGATCTGTTTAACTTTGTACTAAATGAAGAATCAGATTAAATTAGGTTGATCAAAGATGGGGACTGGAACAGAGCTGCCCGCATCATGTCAGATGGCAAAAGAAAAGGCCGATGTAGTCCAGGGTGAGGCATGGCCTCCTGCCACTGTGGTGACAGCTAACGCTGCTGCAGGCCATTGTGAGAAAGACAAAAAAACATTTCAGCCAGAACATATGTAGAATGCTGCGTAGAAAATGAAAGAGAGGGGCCAGCAAGATGGCTCATAAGGTAAGGGAGCTTGCTGCCAAGTCTGACACCCTGAGTTTGATCATCAGGTCCTACATGGTGGAAGGTGTGAAGTGACTCCTGAAAATTGTCCTCTGACCTCCAGATGTCAGCTGTAGCATGGATGCGGGTTTGCACACACACAGATAAATACAGCAAATTAAAAAGCTAATAAGAGCCAGGCATGGTGGTACACACCTTTAATCTCAGTATTCGGGAGGTAGCGGCAGGCGGATCTCTGTGAGTTCGAGGCCAGCCTGGTCTACATAGTGAGTTCCAGGCCAGCTGGAGCTATAGGGAGACTCTGTCTCAACAAAACAAAAACAAAGAAATAATAAGGAAAACTCTGTGATCTGGGAAGAATGAGGGGGGTGTCTGGGAGGGCTTTGCTGTAAACCTAAAGCAAAATGAAGTCCAGTCAATGGTGGTGCAGGCCTGTAGTCTGGCACTCAGGAGGGGTTGGACAGGGAGGCAGGAGAAACAGGGGTTTAAGAGCACCCTTGGCTATGTAACAAGTTTGAGGTCAGCCTGGGCTACATGAGGTCCTGTCTCAACCTCTTCCTCCCCAAATTAAACACAGCTACCACAAAATCCAACCGTCTTATTTAAGGGGTAATTCTCCAAGAGAAAACAAAACCAGTTGTTTCTGGGGGCGTGGCTTCAGGAGGTCCAGGCCCTGGCAGTGATATTTGCACAGAGCATGTACTTGCAGTCCCAGATCTAGATCTAACTCTGGTGCTGGGTCTTGAATCCAGAGCCTTGCCCACTCAACCCACACTCCACCAGCAGGCCGCACCACCAGCACCCCCTTCCCCTGCCACTTGTTTTGTTATTGTTCCATTATTTTGAGATGTGTTATTCTGTAGGCCCAGCTGGCCTGGAACTCACAGCAAATCTCCTGTGTGAGTGCTGGGATCATGGGAGCCTCCACGCCTGGCTTCCTCCTGTAGATTCTACCTAAGGGCTGCCCCTGTCCCAGGTAGATACTATCTATGGAAACATCTGTTATGTTCTGTTGTCTGGGATCTCCTGACCAAAAGGCCACATATATGCAGCATGGAAACAAGTTTTTTCAAATAGTTTCCATCTGTGGGTTCATCCAGTACACAGATGCAAAGCCCAGACACTGAAGGCTGACTGAACATGTTCACACAGCAGCTCATGAAAGCCCATAGCAACTTTATTTGTTATAGACAAAAGCTGGAAACAACCCAGATGTCCACCCACTGGGGATGGATGACACATTGCAGTACGTCCATACAATGGAATACTACTCAGCAGTGAAAAAGAGTGAAATATTGATGCACACAACAGAAGCAAGGAGAGATTTCCAGACAGCAGCCAGAGAGAGAGAGAGAGAGAGAGAGAGAGAGAAAAGAAAAAGAAAACCAGGAGGTCTGGGTGTGTAGTTCAGTTCTACAGCACCTGCCTAGTATATACAAGGCCCTGGGTTCCATCTATAACACAGCAATCAAGGAAACAAGTGAGCCCAGGTGTGAGGGATGGTGAGTGCCGAGGTAGTGAGTGCCAGGGCCTGTGGTTGCTGTGATAAATGAGCTGCGGCTGGGCAGCTTTTCACAACAGAAAGTATTCTTTGATAGCTCTTCAAAGTGTAAGTCCAAAATCAAGCTGTCATCATGCCCACGTGCCCCATAAGGTTCCGAGGATCCGTTCCTGACATCCCTCTGGTCTCTGGCAGCTCTAGCCATCCTTGGGGCACTTTGGATTGGAGACGTCTCATTCCAACCTCTGCCTGGATCTTCCAGAGTGTCTACATCTCTTCTGCTCTTTAAACACTTTTTCTTGGTGCTTGGATGGAACCGGGTGCCTTCTGTGTGCTGGGCCAGCACTGCACAGTGGAGCCACTTCCCCAGCCCACATTTTCTACTTTTTTTTTTTTTTTTTCTGAGATAGAGTCTCATGTAGCCCAGGCTGACCTCAACTGTGTGGCTGAGGTTGACTGTGAACTCCTGACCCTTCTGCCCCCACTTCTCAGGTGCTGAGGTGACAGGCCTGCATCACCACACATCCAGCTTGGGTCTCAGTTTCTCTACCTGGGGCAAACCTTGCATGCTTTTTCTAATCTTCACACAACCCAGGGAGAAACTGGGCTTTCTCAGATGCTCATGTCAGGTCTAGGGGTTTTCTATAATATCCAAAACAGTTCTAACCTTTTTCTTTGTGGATAGAGAACAACTGAGGTTTGTTTTTGGGAGTGGTGGGGTGCAGTTCCTTAGACCTGCAGAGCCCTGGAAAAGGGGCCAGGGTAAAGAGACTTCCCGGAGTTGGGACCTATGCCAGCCCAATCTCATTTGCATATGATGTTGAACAGCCAATGAGAGTGGGTGTTCCTGAGGCCCCTGCCCCACACTCTGTCCTGGCAGCCCCACCCTCAGAGGTTGGACTCCCGCAGGTCTCTACCACCGTCTAGGGTGCTGTCCAGAGTCCAGGAGCCAGTGGCCTCTCTGTCCTGCCCCGGGGACAGTAGGTGGGCCTCAGCGGGCTTCTTAGTCCCAGCAGGAATGTCTTCCGGACCCTGGGAGAAAAGTGACCCCATCAGACACCCTTTCCCAGATGGAGTCCCAGGGGACCTGGGACTACGTGCAGAGTCCCAGCATTCCTCAACCCTCCGCTCCAAAGCCCACATCCATCTACTGCCCTAAGACTCATCACAGGCAGCCCAGGCTGGCCTTGAACTCCCTATGTAGTTCAAGATGACCTTGAGCTCCTGATCCTCCTGCCTCCATCTCCCAAGTACTGGGATGATAGATGTGCGTATTCATATCAGGGCTGGAACAGAAAGCTTGTGCATGCTGGGCAAGTGCTCTACCAACTGGACTATGGCCCTAGCCTTTATTTTTTTATTTTTTATTTTATTTATTTATTTGATCTTTTTGAGACAGAGTTTCCCTGTAGCCATAGCTGGCCTGGATTCACTATGGAGACCTCCAACTCACAGAGATCCACCTGCCTCTGCCTCTCAAGTGCTGGGACTAAAGTTTCTCTGCCAGAGTAACCATGTTATTAACCAGTGATGCATCTCTTCAGCCTGATTTTTTTTTTTTTGAGACAGGGTCTTACTATGTTACCCTGGATGTCTTGGAACTTAGTCTGTAGACCAGGCTGGGCTGGAACACACACAGATCTGCCTTCTGAGTGCTGGGATTAAAGTTGTGTGCCACCATACCCATCTTTATTTTATTTTTTGAGTATCCCAGGCTAGCCTCAAACTTGCAGTAATTAATACTCCTGCCTCAGCTTCCAGAGTGCTGGGATCCCAGATGTGGACTACCATGCCTGGCTCAACACCTAGTTTTATTTGCTTATTTATTTGTTCGAGATGTAGCCCCAGCTGGCCTGGAACTTACTATGTAGACCAGGCTGACCTCGATCTCATAGAGATCCTCTACCTCTACCTCCCAAGTGCTGGGATTAAAGGTGTATTACTTTTTAGTTGGAGTCTCATGTAGTCCAGGCTAGCCTCAAACTCACTATGTAGCCCAGGATGACCTTGAACTCCTGACCCTCAGGAGTGAAATGGGCCCCAGGTGACAACAGCTCCCAGTACCTTGGTCTGCAGTCACACGACTCGGCCCCAGTCCAACTCCCCTGTTTCTTATGTAAGGTTATGAATTAAGCAATGTTGTTTTTAGAAAATCCCTCAAAGCCATCTCCTAAGGGGAAACCAGTTTCCTCTGCCACACGCAGGAAGTTATTGTCTAAAAAAACCAGATATGATAAAAATAGTGTCCAACTGTGCTGGCTCCTGGGAAAGGGCCTACCTTTTGGAGAGGAATCTGCCTGGCCCAACCCAGCCCTGGAGCTAACCTGCCTGGTGTCCACCTCCCAAGAACCCCAGTCACTAGCTCACCTTCACCAGGCTGTCCTCTAGGGTAGCTGCACCTTCCTTCGGGGCCACGGACGCTGTCTGGCGAGCCAGATCCCACCACAGCAGTCCTGGGCCCAGGGAGCTGCGCTTGGTGGGACCTGAGGGATAGGGGAAACAGGGACTCAGGGGTGGTGCTCGCCCCAGCCCTGGCTGCCCACCCAGTTTCCTCATCTTCATGGTTTTTCTTTAGAGGTTTTTGCTTTTGAGACATGGTCTCATGCTGTATAGCCTAGTTTTCCCTGGAACTCCAGGCGTTCCTCCTGACTCAGCTTCCCAAGTGGCTGGGATGACAGGCCTGTGCTGTCCTACCTGAGTTTTGCTTGTTTTTGAGACAGGATCGCTTTGTAGCCCAGGTTGACTTCAGACTCTGGACAATCCTAACTGTTCCATGCAAGTGCTGGGATGACAGCCATGAGCCATCACATCAGCATCCCCACCCCCAGCCAGGATCTCACTCTGTAGCCTAGAACTCATAGCAATCCTCCTGCCTCTGCCTTTTGAGTGCTGGGGCAATAATATGTGCCACCATCTCAGCTGGCTGAGTGACCAGCATGTGGGTCCACTCACTGTTACACCTGAGACTCCAGAGTGGATCTTTAGAGAGGAAGGCTCAGCACGAGCCTTCTGCTATTGCAGAAGTGGAGCCCAGGCTTGGTAGAGTGCTTATGGCTCAGTGTGCTTGTAGCTTAGCTGGTACAGTGCTTGCAGCTCCGTGGGTAGAGGGCTTGTAGCTCAGTGAGAAGAGTGCCTGCCTGGCATGCACAGAACCCTAGGTCCATCCCCAGCACCACATAAAGCAGGCATGGTGGGGCACACTTGTTATCCCACCACTTGGAAGGTGGAGGCAGGAGGATGAGTTCGAGGCCAGCTTTAGATACATAGGGAATTAGAGGCCAGCCTGGGCTACACGAGACTGCCTCAAAAGGAAATATAAAGAAAAATGAAGTGAAATGTGGGTTGAGTGTGACACAGGCCTGTCACCCTAGCACTCAGGAAGCTGAGGCAGGAAGACTGTCATGAGTTTGAGGTCAGCCTGGGCTAGAGTGAGACCCATCCTCAACGGAATAAACAACCAAGCAAACAAATTTCTGGAGGGCAGGGGAGTGTGTCCACAGAGGAAAGCGTTCATCAGGACCGCGGACAGCGCCCCTCACGCCTTGGCCTTGCAAGGACGGGCTCCTGATACCGGGCGGTCAACAGCCTCCGTTTCTGCTTCTCGAAGGAGTCACCCCTGTGCAGAGCAGGGTTGTCTCAAGTGCCACAGCCTCAAGTGTGCGCCTTCCTCTCCCTGCTTGGGGTGGGGAGCTGAGGCAGAGGGATGGACGAGCTGGCCTGAGGGCTGCTTCTGCCCCACGCTTACCGGTCAAGTAGCTGATGAAGGCGCCACACAACACGGTGATCAGCGTGCCCAGAGCCCCATAATACAGATAGGAGATGGCATAGAAGGTGTCAGCCAGGGCAGGTCGATCTGTGTCCATGCCAGAACTGGAGGTGGGAGAGGAGGGCACAGGACATGGTCATCTGTCTCCATCTCCAGCCTTCCTGTTTTGTGCATGGCAGCGGCTTGCCCTCTGCCCTGCTACTGACTACTAAACCCTCCATGGATGCCCACTGATCTTGTAATTAAATGGAATTGAATGCTTACAGAAAAAAATAAACACTCATGGGTGGACACGGTGGCACAGGCAGATCTCTATGACATGGAGGCCAGCCTGGTCTACATAAGGAGATGGAAGTTCTAGACCAGCCTAGCCTACATGAGACCCTGTCTCAAACAAAACCAACTAATTATTAAAATAGAAAAGAATAAAATAGAAACCAATTCCTCTACTTTCATCCTCTGCTTAGGTCCGTCCAACCCTCGTAACCTCAGAAAAAGATATGGCCCCCAAGTCTTTGCACATACCATTTCCACCCTCAGGAATGTTCTCTCCTGGGTTGGCAGTCCTGTCCTCTCTTCCCCTCCCGTCCTCTCCCCCTTCCCGTACCCCAGCCTGCTCACCTGGGTACCCTGCTGGAGGCGTTGGCAGGTCCATGTGGGTCCAGGAGGACCGAGGTGTTTGTGCAGCCACCAGTGGAGGTAGGTAGCACTCCCATGATCTCTGCACTAGGTGGGTACAGTATGGCCCCCAGGGCCACCCACAGGGACACAGCTAAGCCAGCAGCCAGCCCAGAGAGGACGCCCTGTGGACAGGGCCAGAGTGAGGTTGGGGCTTCCGAACCACACCCCGAAGCCACCCTCCCACACACACACACTCACAGGCGTGTTGCATGCTGGGAGCAGCATGCCCAGCGCAAAGGCTCCGAGTAGCGGGCCACTGATGACCCCCATCACGGTGAAGGAGCCCTGCAGGGAAGGGAAGGTTGGCCAGCACTGCTGGGACTTGGGCTCTTGAGGTTCCTCTGTTCCTCAGTTTCCTTAATCCTGTTTCTCCCTAAAGACTGCTAGACCAAGACTGTGAGGGGGCTCGTGCACGTAGCCCAGGCTGGCCTCAATCTCGCTAAGTATCTGAGGCTGGCCTTGAACTCCTGACCCTCCTGCCTAAGCCTCCTGAGTGCTGGATGGCAGACTGTGCCATCATCATGCCAAGCAACTCCCTTGTCACATGTCTACTAGGTGCCTGCCTCTCTGAGCCTTGGTCTGTTGGGACCTCATGATGGGATCTGGGGTGGGGCTGGGTTCTCACCTGGAGGACACCGCCCCCCAGCAGTGAGGATAGAGCAGCCACTGTGAGGCAGGCAGATCCGTAGATGAGCGCTGTAGGGGATGGAGTATACAGTCAGCGCCAGGGACCACCCTGGCCCCCCACCCTGGTCCCCTAAACTTACAGAGCCCCTTGGATATGAAGATGAGCTTCCGGGGTGTTAGGTGTGGCCATCGTGGTTTAATGAGGTCTTCCACTGTGACAGCTGCCATGGCATTAATGCTGGTAGATGCTGTGCTGGGGATGTGAGCCAAGGGACATGGCCTCAGGATGCATCCAGGCTGCCTGTGCCTGGCACAGCCACCCAGCACAGTATCCAGTCTGGTGGCCTCCACCAGAGCCCAGCTGAGCCCTGAATGATGGACAGTCCTGGAACATTCTATCCTCCAGGGGAACAGCCAGAGGCCTGGGTGCTGAGCTGAGGCCGAGAGTAATCAGGATGCTCACCTGAGAGTGCCACTATAGGCACAGGCCAAGAAGAGCCCAGGGACTCCAGGCAGGTCCTCGAAGATGTCCAACACGAGCAAAGGCATGTACTGTGGAGGACAATGTCTTTGACACCCAGGGACATGGGCTGCTGTCTGATCTAACCTGTCAATCCCTAACACCCATTACACGAGGCAGACAACTTTTCTTACTGTTTTTGGTATGCTGAGTAGGAGGATTGAGAGTCCCAGGCGAGCTTTGACTACATAGAGAGTTGGGGGCCAGCCTGGGCTATATGAGATCCTGCCTCAACCTCCATTAACCGTGTTTTAAAAAAATATTTTATTATTTTTATGTGTATGAGTGTTTTGCCTGCATGTATGTGAGTGCACCCGTGTCGTGCAATGCCTGCGGAGGTCAGAAGAGGGCTTCGGATTCCCCTGGAACTGGAGTTAAGGACAGTTCATAGCCACTATGTAGGTGCTGGGAATCGAACCCAGGTCCTCTGCAAGAGCAGTCAGTGCTCTTAACTGCTGAACCATCTCTCCAGCCCCATCCTCCCTAACCTTCTAAAAGGAATAAAATGTGACTGTTATTATTATAACCACCAGATTGTGCTGGGCTGTGGTCTCATCTCTTCCTTGACGTCCCCTAGCTTGTCTCTGACTTGTTTGGAATGCTCCACTCTGTGCCCACACACTATCTGTGACTCCCTATTGTTTCCCATGCTCATCTTCCTGCCTCAGGACCTTTGCACAGAGTGTACCTTCTGAAAGGCTCCCACCCACCCCTGGAATGGCCAAGTGGGGAGCACAGAGTTTGATGTCTGGGGGGATTCACCTGGTCTGGGGCTGAGATTCGCCCAGTGAGGAGAGGGTCACAATCTCTGTAGAAGACAAACATGACAATGCCACAGCAGGCCGCACTGATCACGATGAGGAAGAGGCAGAGCTGGTTGATGAGCAGGGCCCTGGAGAGAGGGGCAGCCTCAGGTGGGGGGGGAGGGGCAACCTGTCCCGGAAGGCTTTTTGTGGGTCCCTCACCCGGCAGACTCACAGCTTGGCCTTTCTTTCTGTGCGGCAGGCCACATAACGCTGCACTTGGGCCTGGTTTACACCATACATGGAGAGCCACACCAGTGTGCCGCCCAATAGAAAAGTCCAGAAGGTGTAGCGACTCCGAGGATCTGGGTCAAAGCTGGGCATGGGATGGGTACGTTAGCAGTGATGTGGGGATGTCACATCCCATCACCCTCCCTAGGTTACACAGGGCTATTCTTAAAGGAAAATTTGGAGTGGGTTTTCAAGTGTGAGTAGGTGTTTTCTAGGTTGAACTTATTCCCTGAGACGTCTGCAGGGTGAGGCCTGGTCTTAAAGCAGTTTTCCTCACTCCATCAGGTTGATCCGGGAATGGTTCCGGGCCAGCTTCAGCGTGGTCCAGGGGCCCCCTGTGAGCATGACACCTCGGGCCAGGATCACCCAGAAGCCGCTGAGCATCACCACCACCTGGAACACGTCTGTCCAGACCACAGCCTTCATGCCACCCTGAACAGTGGGGCAGAGAGGGGGACACCTGTCAGGAGGTGGCCTATCCAGGGCCTCTGGGGCAGCACAGAGCAGGGAGCCAGAGACAGCCTGGCTTCCTGTGGGGTAGGTGACCAATGCCCACTTCCTCAGTTTCCCATCTGTAAAATAAGGTTAATATGCCTTTTCACAGTTGATCCAAGGATCAAGTAAAATAATAGGTAAAAAGGAGATGCCGGCTGGGCGTGGTGGCACACACCTTTAGTCCCAGCACTTGGGAGGCAGAGGCAGGCGGATCTCTGTGAGTTCAAGGCCAGCCTGGTCTCCATAGCGAATCCAGGCCAGCTCAGGCTACAGCTGTCTCAAAAAAAGGCCAAAAAAAAAAAAAAGGAGATACCATAGTGCTGGGCCATCGCAGTAAATATGCCTGCACCGATCATTATCACTACTATTTAAAAATATTTTATTATATTTATGTGTATGAGTGTTTTGCCTGTATGTGTGTAAGTGCACCCGTGTCGTGCACTGCCCTCGGAGGACAGAAGAGGGCATCGTATCCTCTGGAACTGGAGTTATTGACAGTTGTTAGCCTCCATGTGGGTGCTGAGAATCCAACCCGTGCCCCTCTCCCAGAACAACCAGTGCTCTTAACTGCTGCGCCACCTCCAGATCCCTAGCACTACTATTTTTATGTTTTAAACCTGTGTAGCCTAGGGTGGCCTAGAGCTTACAACCCTCCTGCTCAGAGCTGGGCCGATGAGTAGCTACGTCTATTTCCCCTATCCACTTTCCCTTCTTCTTCGCCTCCCTGGCAGCCCTGGGGATGTTTTTCTTAGCAGCACCTCCACTCAGACTCCTTTCACAGCAACCTGAGCTGGCTTCCAACTCCAGCTCCAGGAACACCCAATCAGAACATGCCGCCCCTTAAACGGCACAGCCCGGCCTTGGGACCCAGATCAGAGCAGGCCAGACTGGATTCAGCCAGCCCTGGCTGGAAACAGAGAACCTGAAAAAGGCGGAGCTGAGGGAGCAGGGAGATGAACCGACGCAAGAGCCATGCTGAGCTCCTGGATCCAGCCTCACCTGAGGCTCACCGGTTGCGTCACCTCAGATCTCTACAGGCACCCGACTGGAGACGGGTAGGAGGGGCGGGTCCAGAGTCTCTCCCATGAGACCCCCATGGCCGGGTTCAAGGTTCACTCACCACGGTAGTGTACAAGGTACAAATGATTCCGGTGGACAGGAGAGACGCCCAAATGTCCAGCCCTGTCACTGCAAAAACACACCTCCGGTCAGGCTGGCCTACTGGTCTTAGAGGACCACAGGTCTAGCCTGGGCTCCAGTCCCGGCCCTGCCCTGCCCGCCAGTCAGACCTTGGTTCAAGATGAGCGCAGGAGCGTAGATCACTATGCCAGTGTACAGCATCTGGGAGGATAGAGTGGGGCTTAGCAGAGTGGGGCGGAGCTAAACAAGGAAGGGGCCAGGGGTTAGGAACACAAATTAGGCAGGATGGGGGTGGAGCTGGGAAGATGGGTGTGGCTTGTCAGGATGGGGCGGGGTCAGGCTGAGGAATCCGGTTTGAGGCAGGATAGCGGTGGGGCTGGACAGGAGGGTGTGTCTGGGCTGGATGGGGGCGGCGCTCCCGGGAGGGTAGTTAGAACTCCGGGGGGCTTGTGGGAGGGGCCAACAGGTATGTAGGTGGGGCTCCTGTATGGGAATTGGGCCGCGGGTGGACCGCGGAGCTGTAAGTGTGGCGCATCAGGGCAAGGCAGGGATCTTGGCTAGTAGACGGGGCTGCGGGCGAAGCCCTGAGTGGGGGTTGGTCTGTCATGCTGGGCTATGGGCGGAAGGCCCTGGTGGGAACGTGGGCAAGGGAATCTGGGGTTATCACCGGCACAAACAAGAGGGCGGGACAATAGGGTAGGGTGGGCGTCTTGGGTGGAGAGGGCGGGACTACACAGAAAGGGACGGGCTGGACAGGGGTGGGAGGAGCCTACAAGGCTACCACAGAGCATGTGGGCGTGGGCATGGGCGTGGCCGAGGACTCACCGTGGCCACCAAGTACTGCCCCGTTCCGCAGAGCCGCACCGCCCGGCTGAAGCGCAGCTCCAGGTACTGCAGAGGGAGCAAATGGTGTGAACCACCGCGCAGGTGACGGCGGCGTCCTGAGTCCCTCAGCTACCCTCAGGGTCCCTGCCCTCCCTGCTGGGTGCCAAGCTGAGCTCACGGAACTCTTCTGAGTCTTCAAGTTGGCCTAGAACTTGCGGCAATCCCCCTCTTTCAACTTCCTCAGAGCTGAGGACAGGCGTGGGCTATCAAATTGTCACTACTGTTGTTGGACGGTCACAGGGTGCCCAGCTAAGCGCGCAGAACTCTTTGAGTCGGGTTCTCCCTATGGAGCCCAGGCTGGCCTGGAACTCGCAGCAATCCTCCTGCCTCAGCTTCCCAGATGCTGAGATGACAGGTGTGCGCCATTACACGTTCACTAGGGTTGCTGGACCACTGGAAAAACCTACGGGGCCCTGCGCCTTGCTGCAGGAGTCGGACCCCTGAGCAGCCAGAGCCCGCCTGCCCGCACGGGTGGATGGCGCGTCCCGGGCATGCGGGGGCAGGTATCCCCAGGAGGCCACCTCGCCCTGCACACCGTGTGGGCACACCAGCTCTGCGCTTCCTCCTTCCTGCCCCTCGCCCCAGCGCCCCGGGCGTCTTCCCAGAACCTTCGGACTCACAGGCCCGCCTTGCAGTGCAGCGGGTCCCGTGTCCCGGTACCTGATAGGTGCTGGTGAGGCCCAGGCGGTAGAAGATGGGCAGGAAGAGCAGCGCGGTGAGCAGCGAGTTGAGCACCTGGCCCGCGCACATCCAGAGGAACTTGAGTCCGTAGCGCGCGGCCTCTGCGGGGACCCCGAGCACCTGCACAGCCGACATGAAGCTGGCAGCCAGAGATAGTCCCACCGGCACCGCGGCCAGGCGGCGGCCCCCGGTGAAGAAGTCATCGGCGCTGCGCTGGCCGCCGCGGGCCAAGCCGACCCACAGCCCGATGCCGGTGGACACCAGCAGCATGCCCGCGAACACCCCGTAGTCCCAGGCTCCGAAGGTGGCCCGCGCCCCGGCCTCCGCGCCGTCCATGGTGCAGAGGGACAGAGCGCACGAGAGGCTGCGGGGTGGCAGCTCGCCTGGACCCAGGCTAGGTGAACCCTCGCTCTCTGCAGCTACCTAGGTCTATCACTCCGGGTCGCCTGCCCGCCGCCTGTCCACTTTCCCTGAGCGCTCCGGGTTGGGAATTTATTGGGCTCCGGGGTCAGCATGGCTCCGCCTCCGGCCTTGGAGGCGGGCACGACCCGCACCCTTTCCGCCCAGGGCGGGTAGGCTGGGGAGAGTGTAAGGGGGGTGTGGAGGAGGGGCGTGCTCCCAAACTTTCTTCCTTTCTTGTGACTCCCACTGGCTATCTTAGACAGGGAGGGAAGGAGGTTGAGAGGGCAGGACCTTGAAAGACACTCAGGATATGGGTGCAGGGATCCATGGGAAGTTCAGTGCCCCACAGCACTGCACTTTGCTTTCGGGATCTCAGCCCGCCTTGAGCCCCTCCCCTACCAGGCATCAGGGGGAAAGAACAGGCCAACTTTGCCCTCCAGATGACTCTGGGTAATTAGCGGCCTTGGAGAATTTTCTCCTTTTGTCTGAGACTCAGTTTCTCCTTTTTTTTTTTTCAATGGTCTTTGAGGCAGGGTCTCCCTGTAGCCCCAGCTGTCCTGGAACTCACTATGTAGACCAGGCTGGCCTTGAACTCACAGAGATCCCCCTGCCTCTGCCTCCCAAGCGCTGGGACTACAGGTGTGCGCCACCACACCCGGCTTAGTTTCAACATTTTAAAAAAATGTTTCACTTATTATTTTTCTTTTATGTGAATGCATGTATTGCCTGCATGTAGGTAAGTGCACCCATATCATGCAATGCCCGTGGAGGACAGAAAAGGCTGTTGGATATCCTGGAACTGGAGTTACCGGTAGCTGTTAGCTGTTTTGTGGGTGCTGGGATTCAAATCCAGGTCTTCTGCAAGAACAGTGTTCTTAACTGCTAACCCATCTCTCCAGCCCCTAGTTTCTCCATTCTTAAACAGGAGCCTGTCTCTGTAAAGGAGGAGCTTGGCTCTGTTTGGAGGCAGTCTCCTGCAGCGCAGCGTGTCCCAGTACTCCTGATCTTGCTTCCTCAGCCTCCCACCAGAGGGCGAGGGGAGCAGGCCACCACACCTTCCCACAAGGTCTCCCTATACAGCTCCACTTATCCTCCAAATTATGACAATTCTGCTGCCTGGCTTCTCTGGTGCTGGGGTATGGCTGAGCACCCTGCCTCCTCTGGCTTTCATTGGTTCTTTGCTCCCGTTACTCCCTTCATTCACTGACACCTTGGTGAACAGGTTGGTCCTGAACAAGGACATCAGCAGGTGGTGGCCATCAGGGTAAGATGGTGTTCCAGGAGCAGCTGTGTACTTGGGGCCATACAACTAGAGGCTCTGAAGCTCACTGAGGTCCTTCTCTGCTGCTCTGGGGGCGGTGGGACAACTCCAGTGTCTGGGTTTGAGCCCAGGCTAGGGCCCCAAAGGTCTATGTGACCTTTGGAGGGCCTCAGGCACCTCTGGCTCCACCTGGTGGCCTTGTCTGGTCACCCCTGCCTCCAAGGGGAGGGCTGCTTCCTCCCCTCCCCTGGTAGAGACCTACAGCTGAGCCCAGTTGCCCTCAGCAGTTTCCAGCACTGATTCAGCCAGCAGATAAGCCTCTTTAAAGGAGGAAGGAGAGATAGCAACCACAGGACTGGGAGAGCAGGGGCCTAGAGCACAGCTGGAGCAGCTGGGAGAACTGGGTTGGCTGTGGCAATAGCCTGTGTAAATTTGGGAGTCTCTTGGACTACCCTGGCCAACAACTCAAAGGAAAATGTCTCCTGTCTGGCACTGTTTCTTGTTATGTAGCCTTCAGCTTATTATTTTTATTTTATAAGTGTATTGCTTGCATGTATGTGAGTGTATCTGTGTCATGCATTCCCCACAGAGGTCAGAAGGTGTCAGGTTCCCCTGGAACTGGAGTTATGGACAGTTTTTAGTCACCATGTAGGTGCTGGTTTTCAAACCCAGGTCCTCTGCAAAAGGAGTCAATACTCTTAACTACTGAACCATCTCTCCAGCCCCTCTGTTCTCTTTCTAAAAGAAGCAATTGAGAGGCAGAGGCAGGCAGACATCTGAGTTGGAGGAGGCCAGCCTGATCTACATAACAAATTCCAGGCCAGCCATATATAGTGAGACCTTGACTTAAAAAAAAAAAGTTCTGCAGCCTTGGAGAGCTGCTGGTCATTATTTCAGGGGATAACCACCTTTCTCTTAAGAGCCACCCCCAGACCCAGACCCGTGGCTGGCCACCCAAGGCTTGGTGACAGACAGCTGGATAACTTGCCAAGGAACAGGGAAGACAAAGGAGATATTAGAGTGAGGTCTCTAAAATTCTCTAAAGGCTGTTGACCGAGTAGTGGGAACTGCAGGGTGAACTGTGTTCTGGAATTCTGGGGGCCAAGTGGGACTGAGAACAGACAGGGACAGGATAACAGCTAACAGGCAAGCAGCTACATTATAGCCTCTGGAGTTCTGGGCCTAATGCTCTATGGCCTGAGCTAGGCAGGCTGTGCGCACATGTCCAGATCTCCACAGGGACAGGCACCCAGGTGTTCTGCCTGTATTATTTAAGCTGACAGGCATGTGCAACGCCCTTGGAAGCCACTGGGATCCCCAGCAACCAGTCCTGGAAGCACCAGTGCTCTTAACTGCTGGCCCTCTCAGCTCCGGTGTTCTCATAGGTCTGCAGTATCTACTGGCGTTCTGCCACTGCACCTCAACTCTAGCCTGGTGGCCCTTTGTATTGGCACAGTCCACCCCAACTCCCTGTAGGCTCTGCTTCCTTGACGGGGTGGTGTAGGCAGGAACCTCTTATGCACTACTCAGGACAGGGAAAAGGATGGAGCAGCCACACAGGTGAGCCCTGCATGCAGGGGAGGACCAACATCCATCCAGGCAACTCCAAGATCCAAGGTTCCCACTGCCCCCGACCCAGCAGGTTTGGCAGCAGTCATGGTCTGTGGTCCCATAAGCACCATCCAACCTGAGCCCTTCAACTCTTGAGCTCTGATGCCCCCACAAACTGCACCCATGCTGCCTGGCTCAGTGGTCTCCTCTCAATAGCTCTCCAGGATACTAACTGGCCCTTGACCCAGGTCCCACCTGGCTACTTGGGGAAGCCAGGATCTGATCCCCAACACCCAGCTGGATGCTGAGACCATTTCAGGTCACCAGGACCTTGGCTGGCCCTGCTCCCAACCCAGCAAGCTTAGCTCTAGCAGGCAGAGGGGCTGGGTCAGGCCCCTGGGGTGGGATTAGCTTTGTGCCTAAATCCTTAAACCTAAGCCAGCGCCCTGGAGATGGCTGGCAGGAGCAGTCCCAAGCCTAGGTACACGGGCCCATCAGGGGTGCTGCACTGGCAGAAGGAACAAAATTCCAGGCTAGCCTAGCTCTGCTGGATGAACAGAGGCACTAACAGATCCCACCCTGACCCCCGGGAGCTCTGCAGGACACAAAAGCACATAGCCAGGCCTCTACATTGAGTTTATTTGCAATCAGTTTAGAAGAAGGTGTTAGGCCTCTTGGTTGTGAAGCGAGGCTTGTGCTGGCGCCGCAGCACCCGGTGGGGCAGTGGGAACTTGATCTTCGAGTCCTGCAGAGGAAAGGAGAGTGTCAGGGGTCATCCAGGCATGGTGGCCCACCTGCAGCACTGCGTCAGTCTGCCCTCAAGGGGTCACTCACATGGAACTGCTTGACGGCTGGTCGGCGGCACTTGCCTGCTGCAATCTCCTCTACCTTCATGATCTGGATGGAGTGTGCACGTGCACGATGACGTGCGCCCATGTCCCGATCTGGAGGTGGAGGGGAGAGGGTCAGCCACCAGCTAAGGGTGGTGGGACTTGGGCTGTGGGGCCCCTCGATTCACTCTGGGGGGCACTTCGCAGACCCCCAAAGGCGACGAGGCACCTTTGCTGTGTGCACCACTGCTTAAACCGCAGCTACAGGCAGCGGCGGTTCTTGGGTTGGGGTGCTCGGGGTGGGGGGCCATGGCAAGACTGCAGGAACTCACAGCACTGAGTGACGGCACCAGCAGTGGTCAGGTCTCGGTACTCGCGGTACATGTTGTGGGTGCCACTTCTGGAGTCGTAACGTAGCCAGATGCCGAAGTTCTTGACACGCAGTGGTGACTTCTCAAATACCTGGGGGGGGGGGGGGTGAGAGGAGAAGTAAAGCCTGGTGCCAGGGAGGGGCTTCCAGGAGCCCAGCAGCCCAGCTCACCTGCCTACAGTACAATCTCCCCGGAAGACTTCCTTCCAGGAACCCAGCAGCCCAGCTCACCTGCCTACAGTACAATCTCCCCGGAAGACTTCCTTCCAGGAACCCAGCAGCCCAGCTCACCTGCCTACAGTACAATCTCCCCGGAAGACTTCCTTCCAGGAACCCAGCAGCCCAGCTCACCTGCCTACAGTACAATCTCCCCGGAAGACTTCCTTCCAGGAACCCAGCAGCCCAGCTCACCTGCCTACAGTACAATCTCCCCGGAAGACTTCCTTCCAGGAACCCAGCAGCCCAGCTCACCTGCCTACAGTACAATCTCCCCGGAAGACTTCCTTCCAGGAACCCAGCAGCCCAGCTCACCTGCCTACAGTACAATCTCCCCGGAAGACTTCCTTCCAGGAACCCAGCAGCCCAGCTCACCTGCCCACAGTACACAATCTCCCCTGAAGACTTCCTTCCAAGAGCCCAGCAGCCCAGCTCACCTGCCCATAGTGTACAATCTACCCTGAAGACTTCCTTCCAGGAACCCAGCAGCCCAGCTCACCTGCCCACAGTACACAATCTCCCCTGAAGACTTCTTCATCTTCTTCAGCTGTGACACGAAATACCAGAATCGGGACTTGGCCACTACGTGGTTGGGTGCAAAGATGCGCATGCGGTAGAGGGGAG